CTCTCCTGCCCCTCAGCTTCCTCCCTCCCACCTTCCCCAGCTTCCCTTTACACAAAACAACAACTTCTTATTTCTCCCCAGTGTTCAAGAAACCATTCCTAAGCAGAGCAGAGCGGGCAAATAGGGGCTGTGATTTATCTTGCTGTGCAGGAAGGAAGCAGGTCTCAGAATAAGACTTAGCAAGGGGACCCCAGCCCTAAACTGGCAAATCTGGGGGTTGCAGAGGCACAGCAGGGCCCAGGCGGCCAACCATGCTTTACCACAACCCCTGTGCACCGGGGGCTGTCCTCAGCCCAGGCGCTCTGGCTGCAAAATGGCCTGCCCTGGCCTAGCCCCACCACACCCAGGTCTCATGCCCTGTCTCAGAGGAATCTGAGCCCACAAGAAAGGTTCGAAGAGGAAAAATGAGGAGGGTGGAGAAAAAGAAGAAAGAAAAAACACAGGAAGCCCCAGCAGGCTCAGACTGTACCCCATCTGGCCCTCCCTTTGGCTGGACAACCCAAAGCCATTACTGAAGTCCCTCTGAACCCAAAAATGGGGACAGGAAAGTCACAGGCAGGACTCAGTGAGACTGTGCTCAGACCTGACCCAATACCACAGCTCTTTGTGTTCTTAAAAAGCCAGGTGGTGTCTGTTCCCTTCCAGCCAGGGATCTGCACTGGTGCCCCAGGGCAGAAGACATCGCTAAGACTGCCAGGCCTCTGCAGAGCAGGGAGGATCAGACAGGGCCCGTCTGCCCCAGTCATGACACTCTCCTCCCCATCGCACCAGGTGGACACTGGTCTGTCCACCCACCAAATGTGTCTACCACCCTGGCTTCATCTCAGCCAGGAATCGAGGTTGGACAGGACAGAGTCTACGACTCTCCGAGAGGCCACCCCTCCCATGGGTGTCCACGCCTCAGGAGGTGATGGATTCTTGGACTCTAAGGCAGTGATCACCAATGCAATGTGGGTTTACTGAGAACAAGGCATGTGTGGAAGAGGAACAGATATATCTGCATATTTTGAATCTGCACTGATCCCGAACATTGTACATGCTCGGTAAAAATGCATGCAATTGACCCAGGAGGCATCGTCAGTGGGTACCACCTTTGCTGGCTCCATCCAACACTAGGTCAAAATGGTTTGAATGAAGAGACAACTGTCAGCGAGGGCCACCCCAAAACGCCCTAATCCAAACTGCAAACAAAGCCCTCAACATGGAAGAGCCTCAATCATCGGCCTGCATTTAAGCATTTCCGTTTCTGTTGCCATCACTTTTAAGTTGTTTTCGTGCTGGGGTGGCACTAGCCTAACAGTTGTGTGATTTCATCTGACCATAAACTCAACAGTAACAATCCTGCTGAAACCAAAGCAGAGCCCTGTGGGTGGCCGGAGGCAGAAGGCCTCCCGCTGTGATGGGAGTGGGGCGCAGGGCCCCTGTTAGGGGAGCAACTCAGGGCAGGAGGAGAAACCCAAGCTGGGGCCCTGTGAGAGGGTGGGAGCCCAGGAGCAGGGAGTGCCCAGGGCCAGGAGGGACAATCCCTGGCTGCAGATCTGAGGGCTGCCTGGGCCAGAGGACAAGAGGAGTGCTAGCTAATGAGGTTAAAATCCAGGACAGGATAGAAAGCCCCCCACCCCCGCCCCAGCTGGGGATCAGTGAGTATCCTGCATTCCTTCAAGGCCTGGGAACACAGCATGGGACAGGACAGTCTCTTTGCTCATGGGTGGACAATAAACAAATGGAACAAGATCATGTTAGAGGAAGAAAAATGCTATCAGAAAGAAAAAACAGGGGCTGTGCTCCAGAGAAGGCCGCGGGTGGGAGGAACTTGTATAGTGTGGCATAAAGAAGGAGGCTTCCAGGCCAAGATCTGGATGGATGATAAGGGGCACTTGTACAAGGACCTGGGGTTACAGGGTAGCAGGCATGGAAACCGAGGGTGCCAACTCCCAAGAGGGTGGGAGCAAAGGCCAGCAGAGGAAGAGAAGGTGTTGGGGGGAAATTCTGGGGGACCAGGTAGGACACTGAGGAGTCTGGATTTTCCAGCAAGTGAGAGGAAGGCTTAGAGGCTGTCGGGAAGGGAGGTGACCTGACCTGGATTTCAGATCCCAGTGCTGTTGGGTGGAGGTGGCCTTTAGGATGAGGGAGGGGGAGGCAGGGAGAGTCCACAGTGCTGTCCACTGGGCCAATCAGAGACGACAGACGGAGGGTGGAGTTGGGGGGTCCAACTTGTGGTGCTGAGATAAGGGGAAGGCCCAGGCCTGGACTGAGTGACTGGTGGATGGTGGTGCTGGCTACTGAGCTGGGGGAGCCCGGTGGAGAAATAAGTACGGATGGAATCAAGACTTTGAGAGATGCTGGTCAATGTTTAAGAGAGGTATCAAGGAGTTCCAGTGTACAGCCCAGGAGAAGACAGACATACTGAGTATCTAGGACCCTCATAACTCTGGGACCTTGTAGTAGGTTAAAGGCCCCCAGCTTTTGCTACAATTCCCACTGAGAGGTAGAGCCCAAGCCCCGCCCCTGTATCTGAGTCATCTCTGGTCACAAGAGGACACGTAGCTTCCGCGAGGCCTTTGGAGCTCTTACTGTGGGAAGTCTTCCTCCCCTGTGACTGCCACGCTGAAGAGGCCACGTGTACATGCTCTGATTAGCAGTCCCAGCTAAGCCCAACCTTGCAGTCATCCCCACCACCGTGCCAGTGGCGCCATCTTGGACCCCACCACCACCACCACCAAGTAACCTCCACCAGTGCCCCAGGGGGAGGAAGTGCCCAAGCAAGCTGGGCCCAAACGCCTGTCCCACAAAATCACTAGACATCAAACGGTGGTTGTTCTAAGCCACTAAGTTTCAGGGTAGCTGGCTCTGCAGCCCTAGAATCTAGAACAGACATCATCCCAGAAAAGAGGGTAGAGAGAGATTTGCATGCTCCATAGGAAGGAGGAGTCTGCCAAGGAGACTGGGGGGGAGCAGTCAGCCAGGCAGGAGGAGCCCCTGAAAAGAATGGGTCTCCCGAAGGAGCACTGCTGGCCACCAAGCAGTCAAGGCAGATGGGGAGAGAAGCTGTCCCTGATTTGATCAAAGGAAGGGAGGTGCTTTAGTTACTTTTCTCATGGCTGAGACAAAATACCTGACACCAAAAGTTAAAGGAGGAAAAGTTTATTTTAATTCAGTTTGTAGAGATTTCAATCCATAGTTGGCTGGCTCCAAGGCAGGGAAGCATGGCAGAGGAGAAACAGTTCATGGCAGGCAGAAGGCAGCAAAGTAGCAAGTGAAAAGCAGTGACCCTCTTTCTGTCCCTTGTATCCTATCCAGGCTACCCACACCTCTCACACTGAGGGTGGGGCCTCCTTAATGCTAGCAACGTACCAGAAACCAGTCCCAGCATCACCTCCTCAATCCCAGAAACATACAACTGAGATCCAGCCACCTCCTAAAAGCCCCACCTATGACTGCATGAGGCTTTGGGGGACATCTGAACATAGCCACAACAGGAAGGATGGAGAGGAGTCCAATCACAGTGACAGGGAAAGGATGAGAGATCAGCAAGTGGATGTGGACACCACAGAAACACTTTGAGAGGTTCCTATGGGAAGAAGAATCAAAGAAACCAAGTAGCAGCTGGACATGGGGACAGGGGAGGGGCTTTGTTTGTCTAAATGTTGGGAGAACTGGAACTCATTCCCATGAACGAGGAGAGCTGCCCACAGGACAGAAGCTGCCCAGAAAGATCTTTTTAAAATTCTTTTAGATTCATTTCAGAAATCTATGGTTGCCATTTATTGTGCACCTGTGCCAGGCCAGGGGTCCTTTAGCTCACACCTCTTCTCTGAAACAGGAATCCTCATTTCACAGATGAAGAAAAGGAAACGACTGTGCCTCTTCATGATAGCCTACTCTCACACTGTAGGGTGCACTTGTTTTCCTACTTTTACTTGACCCAAACTCACTCTGCTGAGGCTGTTTCCTTTCCTACCTTTAACAAAATTTTTCTGCAGTTGAAGAAGAAGGAGAAGAAGGAGAAGGGGAAAAGAAGGAGGAAGAGGAGGAAAAGAGGAAAAAGAAACTTGTCAAGGAACGAGGGAAGACCCCCACCCACCCACAATACAGCCCTGGCCAGTGAAAGGCAAAGGGGACTGGACTGGGGCTCTCCCAATTCCAGAGCCTGGCCAGGCGCCAGCCAGAGTGAGGTCAGGTCACCACCCCATGGAACTTCTGAGACAGACCCTCTGTCCCTTGCCTCCCAGCTCCCCTGCGTCCTGGGAAATATGGGACAGAGCTGGCTGGGAAAGTGATCCAGACCAGTGCCCTATCTGGGCTAGGAGGTGTCGCCATCACCACCGCCAGCCACTCCCCATCCAGAGTACCAGTCCAGTGGCCTCAGAAGTCCCTCCCACTCCCCGGCTGGCCTAGCTGGAGCCTGTTCCTGCAGTGGGGAGACACACCTCTCTGCCTTGATGCCAGAAGCTCCACTTTTATCTTCAAAAGCAAGGGCAGGGTGGGGACCAGGCCAGCTCAGAGTCCCAGGAGGCCCTCGGGGTAGGGCTGGAAAGCAGGGCTGGGCCCTTCCCTTCTGGCTTTCTTCAGAGAGGCTCCTTCCCAGCCCCAGAGTCCCTTACCCCCTGGTCTCGTCTCCTCTCTGTGCCCACCCCTGCCCCTGGGCCCCTCCCTGACCAGGAAGCCATGGCTCTCAAAGCCTGTAGCCTGCTGCTGGATCTCTTCACACTGTCTCCTCTGTGTAAAGCCAGCCTGGTCCAACTCTGCACTGGGACCCCACACCCCCTGAGGCTGGGGAAGAGCTAGTCAAGAATACAAGTGTTGGGCTGGGGATTTAGCTCAGTGGTTCCAATACTTGCCTTGCAAGCACAAACTCCTGAGTTCGATCCCTGGTACCAAAAAAAAAAAAAAAAGAATACAAGTGTGGCTCCTTCCCGCTGCCCACTGAGAGAAGGCAGAGAGGGCTGCTGGGTCTCCATGCCCTTGCAAAGGAACAAAGAGAAAAAATGTGGACCCACCTGGTTCTGCAAGCCTGGAGTGGCCAGAAAACAGAGCTGCTTCGGAGGAGGGCCCCAGGGCCACTCTCCTCCCAGACCTTCGGCCTGGGCCAGGCCACACCCCAGGCGATAGCAGCCAGTTCCAGCCTTCACAGGCAGCACAGTGCTAAGGAGTAGAGACCTGAGCTCAGGTGATGCCTCCCTGGCTTCCTAACAGCTGGACCCCGCAAAGCCAGTCCCACCCTTCCTAAAGTGAGCACAGCTCTCTGGAGTCCCAGTGCCTCGTGACCGTTTTCCCAGTGGCCGTGACATGGCAGGTCTTGATAGATGCTCTAGAGTGGCTCTGTGTGCACAACACCAATTCCTCCTCACCTTGCCCTGTGAGGGACAAGTATCTCTCCAGCACAAGAAAGGGGGCTGATGCTGAGTTACCCGGAGGACCCTCCCAGAGCTCCACACCAGGGAGAGGAGGCACTGTTCCTACTCACTGGGCTGCCTGCCTCCTCAAAGGACAGGCTTTTTAATTCGAGTTCATTCATAATGATATAACAATGTTCATTCACAATGTATAATTTGCAGAGGGCAGATTTTTACCACTAAGGAAGCACCAGCCAGGAAATACAGATGGCCAAGGAGGCCAGGCGGAGTGTCCTCCACCAGGGGTCGCTGCCACATTCCCTCACCATTTCCTTGTGGAACTGGGTTTTGCTCACCTCTCACACACAGGAGTCTGGCCAGACCATGCTTCCTCACCTAGAAAAGCTTTCGGGGCTCAGCTAACCCATCACCTCCTCCAAGGACCTCACCCTGACCCTCCCAGGGCTGGTGAGGGCCACTTCGGGGCTTTCCTCCGTCAAAATCTGGCCACATTGTGCTGCCATCCTTGGTTTACCCATCTCAATCTCTGTATTTGCCTGGGGACACCTAAGGACAGGTCTGGTGTGACTCATCCCTGTGTCCCCAAAGTGCTAGACTCTGGCCCTTTGCATCACAGCCTTGCTGCCACCTTACCTGCAAGAAGGCTGTTCTGGGAATGGCAGAGACACACAGGCCTGCAGCCAGGGAGCTGGCAGAGGATCCAGTTGGCAGCACCACCTGTCCCCTGCAGCCACTGGACAGAGCAGGCACAAGGAAAAGACATGAGATCCTCGGCTCCAGGTCAGGCCAAGACAAAGCAAGGGACCTCAGTGCCCAGGGCCCCTGCCCAACTGGAGCCTGGGGCCAGACAAGACTTCGAGTGCTCTAACTGCTTCAGAGAGGCTTGGTTTTCTTTTCTTTTCTTTTTTTTTTTGGTACTGGGGGTTGAACTCGGGACCTTGCATTTGTGAGGCAGGCGCTGGAACCACTGAGCTAAATCCCGGCCCCTGGTTTTCTTATCTGTAAGGCCATCTGAAAACTAGCAGGTTTGCAAAGCTATTTGGGTATTTAAATATGCCAGGCACTTAGTAGGTCCTCGGCAGAAAAGTTCACTTTCACCTTTTCATCTGACCAAGCACCCCTGCCACTGAACTGCTGAGGAAACTCAAGTCCAGATGAGATGGAAAAAGGAACAACTGCCACAGCCAACCACAGGCAAGCTCTACTCCTCCAGGGTCTCTGATTCTGCCAAAGGTCTGGCAAGATCTTTGGGACATACAGATCTGGTTCGTAGACAGGGACACTGTGGTCCCAGAGGCAAAGCAAGCTCGCATCTCTGAAGCAGAGCTCTGGACCCCCCTATTGTCCAGCACAGTGTTGGGCAGCTCTCCAGAGGCCCCAGGATCCCAGCATGGCCTCCCTCACCGCTGGCACAGGCACAGATGAGGGCTGGTGGTGCAGCCTCCCCTAGACCATGGGACGTGCATGGCAGGGTCAGCTCAGACAGCCTGGGACCCTGAACCCACACTGTTAATGTACTAAGCTGGGCAGAGGGATGAGGCCATTCACTGGATGCACATCTGGGTTCCAGAGGTCTCCCTGGCTAAGACAAGAGCTGGAGAAGCTCTCATGAGCCCAGGCACCTCATCCCATGTCTCCATGCACATCTGCCTCGGGGGCTGGTCCTCTTCCCAGTCCTGTTGTGAGGAGCCCAGGAGGGCAACTGGGCTCCTCACTGTGCTATCCACACAGAGAAGAGGAGGCAGCATGATGTGCTTCCTGGGTCGCTGAGCTCAGCCTTCAGGGACTGCACACCATGCACCAAGCCTGGGAACCACGGCACCCCCAAGGAGCTCACAGACAGCAGAGCCCAGAGTCCTCCAAATCCAGATTCAGTCTACAAAGCCCAGAACCTCAGTTGCAGCCCCTGCAGCCTCAGCTCAGCCTCTCGAAGCTGTTCTGGCCCAGCTCACGCCTCTCCAAGCCACATGGGCTCCATTCAGTAGCTTGGAGAACCACACAGCCTGGTCGCTGTGGTGGGAATGCTCCTCCCCTAGAGCTCCCATGGCTCCCTTCTTCTCCGCCACTAGATCACTGCTCTCTCACAGGTCCCTCTCTCCACACAGCCTGAGTTTAAGCTCCACAGTGCTGCTTATTAGCTGTGTGACCTTGGGAAAGTCACCTGTCTGCCTCAGTTTCTCCTTAATATAGCCACAATGACACCATCTGCCTCACAGAGTTGTTATGAGGAACAAGAGTTGGCACATGCTTGGCACATGGCAGGCACTTACACGGCACTATTGACAGCACTTACTGCAGACTCCCATTATTATTTATTTCACTGCCTTCCTCGCCATCTCTCCCTTCCAACTGTCAGCTCCACTTGGTCACGGGCCACAGCATACTCAGTCCCTGCCACCTGTGAGTCCTCAGTAAGCACCTGTGGAGGGAATGAGTGGAAAGGGTGCAACCTCCTCAGGAGAGGTTGTGGACTCTGAGGCCAGAGAGGAGGAAACTCAGAGGGGAAGCAAAGGCTGAGCTAGGTTTTGAAGGATGAAGAGTCCTCCAACAGGTCTGCCCAGGGGCAAAACAGCAGCTGCGAGCAGCTCCTGAGCAGACCAATGCGAAATGTTTGAGTCTCGCTCAACCCAACCACCCCTGTGGTCATGTCTCCATTCTGTGGTTTTCGAGTCCTACTGTATGATGGGCACGTGGCTCTCTCATCGCTTTACATCTATAGGTTTCTCCTCCACCATGCAGCCAGAGCCTCGAGCAGATGCTGTCAGGCCCCTCAAGGTGGCACGTAAACCCTTCACAAATTTCAGAGCCTCCTGTGTCAAAGTGGGGGACTCCAGAGTCACCAAGCACCCAGAGCGGAGCACCTGACTGAGTACTGGAGTTAATGTAAGACTGTAACCCAAACACTAGACCTTCAACCTTCCCCACACTGGGCTTGACCCCTAATGGGGCTGGGGATGTTGACGGTGGGAGAAGCCCCTCCATCTGTCCTCAGGTTCAAGGTGAAGTGCTGGGATCACACTAGGAGTCTGGAGAGCAGCACAGCATCTGTGAGTGTGAGCACCAGTGGCCACAGCCGTGTCTGACCTCTCATTGCCCGGCCAGCAGCACTCCCTGGGCCCGTGGCATCTCGGGATGACTAGGACAAACAGTCCTCTTGTCACTGTTTCTGCACTGGGAAAAGCCCCTGACCCCACTGAGAGCTGAGCTGGGCCTGGCTAGACCTGAAGGTGGGCAGAGTGTTCCAGACCTCCCGAGCCTGGCAGTCTCCTGTGGGGCAACACAGGCCCCCGCCAGCCCACTTGGGTGGGGAAAGGAGATGAGCGCTCTGCCGAAAGAAGCAAAGACTGAGACTGGACAGAGAGGCCTTCTGGCAGCCCTGAGTCAGCACCCAGCACCTCTGCTGCCCCCCGCCCCGGCTGGGCAGCAAGTTAGGACCCCGCACTCACTCATGAGCCGGGTGCTTGCTGGGCACCCAGCAGTGAGCAGGAATCCGAACCACCTGACTCCAGTGCTCACTGCCTACACTCCCTCAGGACGCCAGAAAAAGCCCCACACCAAGTAGAGTGGGGCTCAAGAATCATCGGAGACCTCTTTGTTCCCAGTTTGACCTGGCTTCTTTAGTTCCCAGTGAAGATAGTTTGGTGAGGGATTTTATGTATTTGTTTGTTTGTTTCTAATTTATTTGCTAGTTTGCTTTTTATTTTATTTTATTTTATTTATTTTTGCTATTGGGGATTGAACTCGGGACCTTCCGCTTGCGAGGCAGGCAGCAGAATCACTAAGCTAAATCCCCAGCCCTAGTTTGCTTTTTATTAAAAGGTGCTTCGGTTCCAAGCCACAAAATATTCCCAAACTCTCCTGTATACCAGAGTGAAGGGAACTCAAGAAGAAGCTAGGGAATCCAAGACTTGCCAACAAGGCAATAGTTCAAAGGTGGCAGTCAAGGCCAGAGTGCTTTTAGCCAACACGAGGTCCCTGTCCTTGTGTGCCCAGTTTCCACATCAGATGCCCACCCCCACTCCCGACTCACTCTGGACACAGGCGGAGCACAGAGTCAGGGCATGTGGGTCGGATGCCACTTCCAGCCTCCATCTGGCAGAGCCTCTGGTCCCTTAAGAGCCCAGACTCGGGAGCCAGGACCACTGAGTTCAAATCCCAGCTCTGCACTTAACAGCGAGATCTTGGGACGTCACTCAACCTCATTGAGCCTCAGATTCCTTATCGGTAATACGTGTCCCACCTCATAGAGAACCGAATGAGTTTGGCTTTGCTAATGCTGCTGTCCCTGGAAGATGGTGCTAATGACACATCTTGTACCCGCCAGGAAAGAAGTCCTTTAGATAACACAGAGCTGGGGAGAAGACCCGGCTGCCCTCCATCTAGGACACACTCTACCCTGGGCTCAGGGGACAGGAGCGAGAGGCCCTGCTGCTCAGATCCCACCCTGGGCCAGCCTGAAAAGCTGCCTGCTCTCGTTCATTCGCTAAGCATGCCCAGGACACTGCCCAGGCCCAGCCCAGTGCCAGGTACACCAAGAGCAGCCTCAAGGAGCCCGCTGGCTGGCGGGAGCTTCGGTGTGCAGGTCAAGCACAGTTCCACCCAGAGCACTGGGCTTTCCAGCAAGGGCAGCACCCAAGCTGAATTGGGGGGCTCTGGGGAACTTGTCAGGGAGATAAGTCAGAGGAGGTGCAGGGAGGCTGGGATAACTCTGGCAGAGGCCACAGCAGGTAAAATCACGGGGAGGAGAAGGCACGGCCATGCGTAAGGCTGTAGAAAGCAGTTCCGTGCTCCTGCAGCAGAGAACTAGGAGGGGTGAGGACGGGGGATGAGGAGGGAGGCAGGGAAGGGAGTCAGATCGCCAAGGTCCTTTGGCGTCACATAAGGCATGTGAAGGTCATACTGAAGTTGGAGACGAGCCACACTCGCCTGTTGAAGGGGGCACAGCATGGGTCAGTGAGGATGGGAGTTGAGGGCTGGCTGTGCAGATGGGGGGGCTGATACAGCCTCTCTCTACTTGCCCCAGCACTCCCCTTCTCCGGCACTGGGAATCGAAATTAGGACCTTGGGGCAGGTCCTTGCCAGGCAGGGATGGTGCCCAGCCCCCTTTTAAAAGGCTGTTGCAGGGCCGGGGATTTAGCTCAGTGGTTTCGTCGCCTGCTGTGCAAGCGCAAGGACCCGACTTCTATCCCCGGTACCAAAAAAATAAAAAAATAAAAAGGCTGTTGCTGCCAACATCCTCAGCAGACAGCCGCTCTGTGCCCTCACAAGCCCTCTGGCCTGGCCTGAGCCTTCTCCATGTACCAGGTCAAAGGCCCTAGCAGGTGCCACCAAGCCCTTGGATCTGTCTCTGTCCTTGGAACCTAATCTCAGCTCCAAAGTCCCTGTGAGAAGGTTCCAGGGAAAAGTGCTCTCCAAGGTCACTTCCCAGGAAGCTTTTCCACATGGCCGGTCCCTCACGTGGTCCTGCGCCTGCTCTCTGTCTTCACCCTGAAACCCTGTCATTCACACATGCACACACACACATCTTGCTCTGCCCTTCCACCAGCTCTGTGGCCTTGGAGCCATGAGTGTAAAACACCTCAAAGCCCTGAGCTCAGATGGCAACAGAGAGAGACTGGCACACACAGACCTGAGCCAGACAGAGAAATGCTTCCCAGCCAGATTCCCAGAACGGCTGCAAGTGGCTCCCTTCACACAGCCCCCCCAGAGCGTCTACTGGCCCTTGGTGCTTGTTTAGGGAACATTGTCTATGATTAAGCAGCCTAGAGATTCCACAAGTTCTCTCCCCAAAGAGAACTAGAAAATGGCCTGTGAAAAGTGAGACAGAGGATGCAGAACTTCTGACTTAAAGGGGACGCATCAGCGTCTTCCTAGGCCCCCAGCCCTTCCTGCCCTCCCTGTGCCTCCCGAACCCCACTGTCCATACCCTCCGCAGGTGGCTCCCCACATTCTGGATCATCGCAGTGTCCCACCAGGCTCCGGAGACAAAGGCTGGTCACCTGAACCACAGCCTGCAGGCACTCTGGCTCCAAATGCAGCTGGCTGGCTGGCTGCCTCTCCATGCACGGCTCCTCCTCCAGCCACAGCTGCTCCCGCCCTCCCTAGCCAGCTGTTATAGCCTGCCCCTGCCAGGCCTCTCGGCAGACAGCCCTCTGACCCCCTTCTCCTGAAGCCCAGGAACGCTTCACGGAAGTCTCCTAGGGGCAGCCAGTTGGTACACAGCCACGGCAGGGGCACAGTGCCCTTGTCCCGGGCACCCGGTCCGACTCACTTTTTCTCACCCCACTTCTAGCCACCTCCCTCTCCCAACTGGGTTCGGCTCTGGGATGCCCCTAGAGGCCTGGAGTCCATCCGTCCACAAGCGGTCAGGCTAGAACACAGCAAGCTGCCAGCAGCCTCCTGGAGAGACACCAGACCCACCTGCTAGAACTCTTCACCCTCGGGAGTGGCCCGGCCCACCGCCCACTGTTGCACCATAGCACCCTGCTGGCGTCCTGCAACAGCTGGCCGCAGACAGGGCATACTCCCACTCCCTTAAAATAGGCAAGGTAATTCTTCTAAAGTGGCACCTGCCACATGGCACCCTGACGGCCATGCAGGATTCAGCCTCCCGTAGCACCACTGGCTGAGGGACCACCAGGATTTCCCTTCTCCCTCCTGCTTCTGCAAGAGGCTTGAAGAGGAGGCCCTGACACTCACACTGGACTCTGACAGCATGGCAAGTGTATGGTGGGAAAGGGAAGGGGTGGGGAAAGGTCCCAGCAAAGGAGATGGGTAGGGAGTAAGAGCAAGCACCCCGTAAGAACAGCAAAGCCCATCTGTGAGCTGGGCCTTGTCCCATGCCCTGGGGGAGGATCCTGGGCAGGGGAGGTGATGTCCTCCCACCCCAGAGAGCACAGAGGAGAGAGGAACAGATCTCCTTAGCTCTGAGGCCTCTCCCTCCTCTCTGTCCCCGCTGCTGCTCCGGTTCATTCACCATAGATTTAACAACATTCCCTCGGGGCACGTCCTGCCTACAAGGCCCAGGTTCTGAACCCAGTTCTTTCATCACTGTGCCGTGTGCCTGTGGGCAGGTCCCTTCCTGTCTCTGAGATTCCGTGCTGTAGGAGTCAAGGACAGTAAAGTGAGCTCAGGTCTTGCCTGCACAGAGGTGGTCATCTGTCAGCAGTTCTGCGTCCACAACTGCAACATTGAAGTTAAGCCTGAAAGACACCAAGATGCCCTACCTGTACCCAAGGGTGGGGCAACCCAGGTGACTGAGGAGGTTTGGAGAGGCTGAGGAAAGGGGTGAGGTACAGGGCCTAACAGGAACCGAATAGGGCTTGGGCATCAAGGAGCCTCTAAAAATGATGAACATGCGCAACATGACAAAGGCCACGTGAGGCCCAGTCGAGGTGGCATGAGTCCTCCTGGACTGGCAAGAAAACCAACCCAGTGAAGGGACAGCTCCTGTCCCCCATCACCCTGTCCCCAAGATACCTTGACAGGCAGCAGCTGGGGCAATTTCAGGCCCCCTGGATGCAGAGGAAGCAATGGAAACCCAGAAAGCTCGGGCCCCAGCCTGTGCTCCTGCACAGCGCCACGTGTCACCCAGCACCCCAGCTTTGAGTTGGACAGGGGAGGCCCAGGAATGCCAACCGAGTCCCCCAAGGACCCACAGGAGGAGGCTGTCTAGAGTCACCACTCCTGACCGCAAGTCCAGAGCCCTGTTCACCCGACCCCACAGGGTTTAAAATGAGATGCCCCAGTTAGATTCAGGAGATGACCTAAAACATGGCTGAATTGATCCTGCTGTCAAGAACCAGAGACAAAGGGCCAGATCTTCCCCAGAGGCCCCTCCAGCCCTTTCTGTGTTGTTTATTACAGAACCCGTTTCCGCCTCCCTGCCTCAGCAGCACTGTAGTGTCTGTTATACAAAGAGTATTTCCCTGGATGTCTGCCTCCCCGCTCTAGGTCACCTGGAGCCCCCTATGGGCTGGAACCACACCTGACTCATCTCTACGTCCAAAAATGAGGGTTTTCAATTCAAGAGGCATAAAACACATGTGGATGAATCATAGTTCTGGAAGGGCCCAAATTTCAGCCACCTGGGTGGCTTCTTAAAGCATAGGCTGCTGAGTCCCATCCCCAGAGTTTCTGGTTCAGCAGAGGTGAAGTATGACCCAAGATCCCCAGTGTTGCTGAAGCTCCTGGCCCAGCTGCGGGTCCTAGCCTGTGGGCTAGGTCAGCCGTCCCCAGTCACAGTTTGGAAGCAGGAAGCCTAGAGATTTTAAGGACAGAACTTAACAGTGTATCACTAGCAGCAGCAGCAACAGCAGCATTACCACTATGGTCACTGTCATTATAACCCTGTCATTTATCCCTCTTCACATGCCCAGCACTGTGAAAGCACTGCATTTCTGCCTCTAGGCTTCACTGAAAAAAAAGATGCTATGATTATTATTTTTCTACAAAGCAAAAATCGGTATTATGACACATGTGAGCAGTGGGCAAGCAAGCGAAGCTTCATCTGTATTTACAGCCACTCCCCATCACTCACTTTACCACCTGAGTTCCATCACCTGTCAGATCAGTGCATCACTAGACCCTCATAAGAGCCCAAGCCCTACTGTGAACTGCACATGCAACGGATCTAGGCTGTGTGAGCTCTTTTGGAGAATCTAATGCCTGATGATCTGAGATGATCTGAGGCGGTGATGTTAGTCCTGGGGAGCAGCTGCAAATATAGATGAACATCACAGAGAGGCCTGACTGCACAGAGACCATAAGAAATCAATTTCTGGGGATGGGGATTTACCTCAGTGGTTTCGCCACCTGCTGCACAAGCGCAAGGACCCAAGTTCGATCCCTGGTACCCCCTCAAAAAAAATAGAAAAAGAAATCAATTGCTTACAGACTCATATCAAAACCCTATCAGGGGCCAGGGATTTAGCTCAGTGGTTCTGTCGCCTCCCTTGCAAGCACAAGGTCCCAAATTTGATCCCTGGTACGTTAAAAAAAAAAACCTATTAGTGAGTTGCAAGTGACAATTGAGTTGCATCTTGTGACAGGTTTTATAGTGACAAGTGAGTTGATGTGCTTTCATTGAGCAGCTGCATCTGGTGGCAGGCTTTAAGTCAGAATCCAAAATTTATTTTAGTTCACATGTGGCCTACACATTATTTTATTTACCACCTCCATCCATGTCTCTTTCCCACAATGCACATTTGTCTCAGTCATAGCTTTGGTAAGCCCACAAGCTAGTCCTGGCCAAAATGAGTAAAAAAACAAACATCCCTAGAGAGCTTCTTTTTATTTTTTTGGTACCGGGGATCAAACTCGGGTCCTTGGGCTTGCAAGGAAGGCAGCAGAACCACTGAACTAAATCCTTGGCCCATGGAGAGCTTCTTTAAAGGGGGGAAAGGCCCAAGGATGAAACAGCAGAAGACTCAAAGATGGCAACAAAAAGAAAATATCAAGCATTTAAAAGAAAATACCAGAGGGCCGGGGATTTAGCTCAGTGGTTCTGCCGCCTGCCTTGCAAGCGGAAGGATCCGAGTTCGATCCCCGGTACCAAAAAAAAAAAGAAAATACCAGGAGTCCTACTTAAATCATGGTTCATTGTAATAGGTAATTTACATTCCCCAAGCCTGATTTATATAATATGTGGTGACCAACTATCCACAGAAGCCATGAAACCTTCAAAACTGATTTGCCATGTGAAGACCAAGCACCCTGCATTAAAAGACAAGCCTTTGGAGTTTTTCAAAGGAAAAACATGTGAACACAAAGAACAGAAATAATCACTGATGGTCATCACTTCATCCAATGTGTCTGCACTGACAGCATCATTCTTAGTGGCTGACCACATTGCTAAAGCTAAGGAGCCCTTCACTACTGGTGAAGAGTTGATCCTGGCTGCTGCTAAGGACATCTGTGAAATTTTAGGAGAGGCTGCAGTTCAAAGAGTGGCATGTGATCCTCTTTCCGCTAGCACCATGACTAGAATTGATGAAACAGTAGAGGATATTTAGGCACAACTGTTGGAGAGGATTAATGCAGTGCTGTGATACACAATCCAGGTTGTCAATTCTACTAATTCTACCAAGGCAACGATGCTTGTTTCTGTGAGACATGTTTTTCAGGAGGATGTGCATGAGGATATATTATGTGCACTTTTGTTGCCAACCAACACCACAGCTACAGAACTCTTCAAGTCTTTCAATGATTACACATCAGGAAAACTGAACTGGTCATTTTGTGTCTGTATATACACAGATGGAGCAGCTGCCATAACTGGATGGCATTCTGGTTTCGCCACTTGGATCAAAGAGGTTGCTTCTCAGTGTGACTCTACACCCTGTGTCATCATAGAGAAATGCTGGCTTGCCAAAAACTGTCACCTGAACTTAAAGATGTTAAGCAAGATGTGATTAAAATTATCAACCCATTAAAGTACATGCCCTTAACTCACATCTGTTCACACAACCCTGCAAAGAGATGATGCAGAACATGTCTTCTCTAACACACAAAAGCAAGATAGCTTTCTAAAGAATTTCATTCAACCCAGCTATTCTCTTTTTAGGTACCTTCCCAAAAGAGTTAAAGGGATCATATTACAGTGATATGTCCATACACATATTTATAGCCACACAATTTATAATAGCCAAATCTTGGAAGCAGCCTATATGTCCATCAACAGATGAATGGATAAAGAAAATGTAATATTTCCACATAGTGGAGTACTACACTGCCATAAAGAAGGATAAACATGAGTCATTTGTAGGAAAATAGATGTACCTAGAGATCATAATGTTCACTCCAGAGATAGAAAAACAGTGTCCACAAGCAATACATCTCAGTGATACAGAATGGGTCACAAAACTTGCTTACTTGTGTGACATATTCTTTACATATATATATATTTGGTACTGGTAATCGAACTCAGGACCTCACACTTGCCAGGCAGGCACTGTGCCACTGAGCTACATCCCCAGCCCTTTTGTGACATATTCTACCTGCTCAGTGAACTCAATATGTTGTTTCAGGGGAGAATGACAACTGTGTTCAAGTCAGCAAATAAAATGGCTATATTCAAAGCTTAACTGGAATTATACGAGTGATGAGTGAACACCGGGTTGGTTGGTTGGTTTTACATGCTTCAAATATTAGCAGAGATTTTGAAAGAGACTGAGCCAGGGTCCTCTTTGTCCCAGCTGGTGCATGATCACCTATCTCAGCTTTGAAAAGAGTTTGAGTGTTACTCCCCAACCACAAAATAACCCTAAACTGGGAAGGAATAGATCCACAACCCATTTGTGA